CTCCAGCAGGTACATGCACCTAGTAGCAAAAAGTTCTTTTTTTTTTTTTTTTTTAAGAATTATTATTTTTTATTTAACTTTATTTATTTACTTTAATTAAACCAGAGAGGGACAGAGAGAGTGAGACAGCAAGCTACCAGGTCCGGGACTTGAACAGTGGTTGGCCATGTGGGAGTCTGGCGCCCTTAACCACCATGCCACTTGCCAGCCCCAGCTCTTTGTTTTTTAAAAAGAATTACTTTATTGTGGCCAGCAGGTGGCCTGATGGTTAAGGTTAACTTTATTTACCTATTTATTTATTCATTTTTAATTTGACCAGAGAGGGGCAGAGAGTAAGAGAGAAAGAGAGGGGGAAAGTCAAAAAGCTAGCTGCCAGGTCCAGGACTCGAACCGTGGTCAGCCATGTGGGAATCCAGTGTCTTTAACCATGCCACGTGCCGACCCCAAAATCTGTGGGTTTTTTTGGTTTTGTTTTTTTTTTTTTTTGCTATAGGGCAAATGTGCTCACCAGAAAGAGAGAGACACAAAGTAAGAAATCACCCCCCCCCGGGGGGGGGGAATGGCCACACCGTAATCCCTTCTCTTCCATTCTCCTCTGGGGATCTTGGGCACACACGCACACCTGCCCAGCATAAGTTTAAGCCACCGGGTCGACTACATGGGAGTCCAGCGATGTAGCCATTACGCCAACTGCTGGTTCCCCAAATCTCTGTTAAAAAACAAACAAAACAACCTAAGTAAGTGTATTTAGAAAGGAAACTTTTGTGTAGTGGTTCTCAAAGGGTGTGCCTTGAAGCGGCAGCATCAGTGGTCTGAGAGGCTGGCAGGTGGCGTGGTGGTTAAGGGCATTGGACTCCCACGTGGCCTACCGTGGTTCCCGTCCCGGACCTGGCGGCTTGCTTGCTCACTTTCCTTCTCTCTCTCTCACTCTACCCTTCTCTGGTCAAATAATAAATCAATAAATCAGTACACTCTTAGGCTCACAGGTCTGGGCTAAGGGGCGGAGGCCAGCGCTGCAGTTAACAAGCCCTGCGGGAGGTCCTGACAGACCCTCAGCGGAAAGGCTGCTCCCCTCACTGCCAACAGGAGGCTGCAGGAGGGCTCCTAGTCCCCGCGGGGGGCCGCCAGGCGCATGGCGCACTTCAGCCAGGGCTCCACTCAGGGACGGTGACCAGGACGCCCTCCCTCTGCGGCCCACGCAGCCCAGTCTCACCCGCAGCGTGTCCTGCCCTTACTTTGGCCATGAAATCAAGGCTGAGGCGGCTGGGACTTGGCCAAGGTCACGCGCAACATGATCAAACTCTGTTAGCAGGGCTGTCCCCTGGGGAGGGACGCGGGGCCGGGTCCTCCCAGCGCCTCGGCCGGGGAAGGCCCGCCTGGTTCCCCACTTGTGACAGCCAGACTAAGCAGAGATGGGGCAGCGGTGCACCCCACACCACCGACGAGAGCAGCACTGACGTGGAAAAGGTCCGAGAAGGGGAACGTGGTAACCCGGGGAGAGGGTTTACTGGTTTTTAAAAACCTTTTCTGTTTTGAGATACGGGTCGTAAGACTCATGGCACATCACTAAAACGCACTAAACAGCACAGCGGTCTAAAAAGTCGGCAGGGCCCGGCCCCTGGGGTGTGGCCGCCAGCTGACCGGGCCGGCCTGGGAACACACCAGACACAGGAGCCCCGGACCGGGGGCTGAGGAGGGGACGGCGGCGGCCTGAGCCCTGGGGAAGGTGCCTCTTTCTGCCCCTCTCCTGCCCGTGCACGCACACTCTGTCACGACCTACACACAGTCCCCCACGCCCTCCCTGGTATCCAGCCGGCCCACAGCTGGCAGCCCGGGAAGCCTCCGGAGGCTCCTGTCCGGGCCTGCTGCCTGGCACCCTCACCCCAGGGACCCTCCCCCCGCAGTAGTCCGGGGCGCCCTTAACCCGAGGCCGCCTCACAGAGTGACAGTCCACCTGTCTGTCTGTATCTGAACGGAGGGGAACTTCTCGGGGCACCTGGCTTAGAAGACGGGATGCCAGAGGCTGGCAGGTGGCCTGCTGGTTAAGGGTGCTGGACTCCCACATGGCTGACCACAGTTTGAGTCCTGGACCTGGTGGCTTGCTTTCTCACTTCACCCCCTCTTTCTCTCACTCTACCCTTCTCTGGTCAAATTAAAATAAATAAATAAAGCTTAAAAAAATAAAAAGAAGTGGACGGGATGCCTCGTGCTGGACTAACGGACCAGGTGCATCCAATCCCCACAGGTGAGCCCCCAAGGCCTTTCTTGGACTGGCCCAGGTGAGGCTACGGCCACTTTCAGCACCTGGGGCGTGGGGGTGGTGAGGAGGGATATATATAGAGCCGGGGGCCGGATCCCTGGGAGGCTGGCTACAGGGTTGGGGGTGGTGTTTGTGAGCGCGTCTGGTGTGGCCGTGCCACCAGGGACCCTCAGCAAGGGCTCGTCCTGGAAGCCGCTGTCCCTGGGCCCCGGCCGTGTGCACGGGATGGCCTGGCTCGTGGTAAGGGTGCCAGGGACTTGCTTGGGACCAGCCCCCTGGTCCTGCCCCCGTTTTCAGCAGGTACTCACCCCCGTCTGGGCAGTAGCTGCAGGAGTGAGGGGAGACTGAGGGGCAGACCACACCTTGGCTGAGGCAGGCCGGCCTCTCGCCGCCTTCTGTGCACGAAAGGTGAGTCTGGCGGGGTCCTTCCCTCAGGAGCTCGGTGCCTGGGCCTCCTCTGCCGACGTGGCTCTGCTCTGGCGGCCCTGACCCCTGGCGTCCTCCCCGCTGCAGCCTTCCTTTTAACACCTGCGTGCGTGCGTGGGCGGGCGGGAAGAGTGCTCAGCTGCGCGCTCACCCCGCCCAGGTGGGCCTGGGGAGCCCATCCACCGTCTCAGGCTCCACTGGCCTCAGAGCCCGTCTGGGCCCACGCACCCTGGCGTCCTGCCTCAGGTCTGTGTGCTGCGGGACGACGGGAACACCTGGGCACCAGGTCCATCATGGCCCTTGGCCACGGCCGGGCCCAGGAAGGCTGCGGGGTGCAGGGAGTCCAGCCAGCTGGGCCCTGGGCCAGTCACTTCCCTCTGCCTGTCACCTTGGCGACTGTGAGGCTCTGGTGTGGAGGTGACCGACTGGCACTTCTGTCCCGTCAGCAGAGCCCAGTGGGGGTGGGGCATAGACTGGAGGGGGCAGGGTGGCTGCCTGAACACGCTTCGCCTGCTGGAAGAGCTGCAGGGCGTCCTGAGGCAGCGTCCTGGAGTGGAGACACCTGGGGGCGGGGCGCTGTGTCCCCACCCAGTGCCATGTGTGTGGGGGGGTGTCTGCGCTGGTGTGGGTCCCTGTCCGAGTGAGGCCATCCATGCCCGCCTTAGACACGGTGCCGTCCTGACCACGGGACCGCTGGCCAGGGCGCGTTTTGGGCTGGCAGTACCAGAGGGGCAGGGGTGCTGGGCAGAGGTCCCTTACCTGTCTTGACTCCTTCTCTCCACTCAAGGCCTGGTCACCTCGAGAGGGGCAGCCGTCCACACTGGCAGGAACCCAGAACTAGGAGCTGAGGTCACTCCCTCTAGGGCAGCCGCCCCCACCCCTCCCAATAACTGCAGCGAAACAGCTCCCCGCCAGCATCCTAGGCTCCGGCGGGCGGGCAGCTTCACCCAGACGTCCCTGAAAACCCACAGGAAAGCTCCACACCGCCCCCCTGTGGCCAGCGGAGGTAGGAGCTGCGCCACAAAACGCCGAGGTCTGAGGGGGCGGAGCAGAGCCCCAAGCGCAGGTTCACCTGTTTCTCGGCGTTTGCTCACGAGAACCTACACCGGGGCAGCCAGACGGCGCCGCGCCCAGGTTTCCTGATGCTTAATTAAATAAAGGCGTGGGGCCAGCAAGTGGCTTGGTGTTTACGGTGCTGGACTCTCACATGGTCGACTCTGGTTCAAATCCAGGACCTTGCAGTTTGAAAAATCGCAGCAAATAAATAGACTAATAGATAAATGTAAAAAGAGCACAATTCTCCACACATTGCTGAATACTCCCTGGGAGACACAATCATCCTGAGTTCTGAACCG